ACCACAAGACAAAGAAATTTATTAAAAAAAAAAAAAAAAAAAAAACAAAGCAAAGAAAATCAGCGGAAAGCACAGTTTTGGAACAGAATCTGAACATTCCCCAAGCCAGCAGCAGCGTTTTGGGACCCCAGCTCAGGAAGGATGGCCCAGGGCTGCGCCCGTGGCTCACACGAGCCACTGCCTGAACCATGTGTTAGGTGCCAGGCACTTTTCTGATCACAACCCGCCCCGCCCCCCCGCCAACCTTTTCCTCTGTACCCGGGACTGCCCTGGAGCACAGCAGGACAATTTCATATTGAAAATGGGTGGAAGTCAGGGAGTGGGAAATAAACAGGAAGGGGGAAACTGCATCTAAGTAAGAAAATGTCATTTCCCTATGGCTGTGGCTCCTAAAAGACAGTGTGTGGCCCAGTGCCGGGCCAGACGTATAAGATTCATCCTGGAGGGGGCTTCCCTGGTGGCGCAGTGGTTGAGAATCTGCCTGCCAATGCAGGGGACACGGGTTCGAGCCCTGGTCTGGGAAAATCCCACATGCCGCGGAGCAACTAGGCCCGTGAGCCACAACTACTGAGCCTGCGCTCCGCAACAAGAGAGGCCGCGACAGTGAGAGGCCCGCGCACTGCGATGAAGAGTGGCCCCCGCTCGCCACAACTAGAGAAAGCCCTCGCACAGCAACGAAGACCCAACACAGCCAAAAATTAATTAATTAATCAATTAATTAAAAAAGGAAAATGAATGCAACACAATTCTTTAAAAAAAAAAAAAAAAAGATTCATCCTGGAAACAGGCTGAGAACACAGATGCCCTGGTTCACTCCCAGACACGGAGGTGGGAGGCCCGGGGGTGGAGGAGGAGGAAGTGTGCTGCAGGTCCTCAGGTGGTCCCGGTGTGAGGGCCACTGCTCTCCCGGACGTAGGTGAGCATTTCCATGGCCACACGCTGGGTCACGTGTGTAAGGCTTGGGGCCAGGTGGACAGGAGAGGAGACCCGTCGAGTTAAACAGTTACTGAGCTCACGTGACTTGGATCCACCCAGACCACATGCAACTCACGATCTGGTCTGAGGACAGACGAAGAGACTTCTTATAGGAGGTGGTGCTGCTGTGGCTCAGCGGCTCCGTAGGGATGGGGTCCACTTGGATGGATTCTTCCAGCTCCTGGGACCCCTCGTCACTCGATGAGTCTTCCTCAGCTGGCCTGTTCAACACAACCCCATTACGGAAGAGGCAGCAGGACTTTTTACAGACGACAGCTTTTCATTTAGGAGCAAGAAGAGAGAGAGATCCTAAATCCATTCTAGGAGGAGCCATTCCCCAGACCCAGAGTCCACACCTGCATATTCCTCCTCCCTCTACAACTGGCCGGCGGTTACTCGCCCACTGTGACTGGCCATTTTCTGCTACAACCAGTGAATGCTACTAGGCCTGCTGATTCTTGTTGAAAAGGATATGTATGTTTCTAAAGATACAAATCTTTAAAATCTTTCTTAGTGATTTAAGAAACTAACAAGATTTTATACAGTCCTTTCAAAAGAAGAGGGTAAAGAGCAAGAAGATAGATAAACCCAAGTGTTTAGAGAATGGGAAGAGAAAAGAACCTGATGGAGGAAGAAACAGGGTGGCAGAAACAAGAATGGGGTATGTCGTGGCACCTCCCCTCGGGGCAGCCAATCCACATGTCCAAGGCAGCTCTACTCCTTCCAAGAAATGAAAGGGACCCACGCCCAACTCAGATCCTGTTACGTCTCCCCTGCTGTGCCTGACAGCCAGGGAGCAGGGCACCAGGGACAGCACATCTCACAATTCCACAAGATCTGCCTCCCAAACGCCTGCATTTCAGGGCATCCGAGTCCATGGCTCCAGGACAGGAGCAAGGTACTCAGGAAGCAGTGAGGAGTATATGTACTGTAAGCTGATGATATAGTCTACACATGCACACACACACGCATGCACGCACGTGCGTGCGCGCTACACGGCACGGCTTGCGGAATCTTGGTTTCCTGACCAGGGACTGAACCTGGGGCCCCAGCTGTGAGAGTGCTGAGTCCTAACACTGGACCGCCAGGGGAGTCCTGAAGCTGATGATATTTTTTAAAGAAAAGTGGAAGTTATCATCTGCTGACTGAGCAGAAGGAAGCCACTGACTGTCATGCACGTCCACAGGACAAAGACATTTCTGACTAAGAATTAAACAAAACGGCCAACATCAGCTTGAATGCAATGGCCGAGGCGGGGGAGCCTGGAGAGACCGGGGGCCCCCACCTGCCATTGGCCGGCTCCTTCGCGCTCGACGGCCGGTCGATGGGCGGCGGCACCTCCGATTTCCATTCCTTGGCCTCTGGCAGCTGGAAAGGCAAGATAACAGTGACAATGTGCACTTCTCCCCCTACGGACAAGCAAAAGTTCATCAGTAGCTCTCTCCAGGAACGAGCAAAACCGCTTTCTGAATCCGCAACTTAAAAAGGCTTAAGAAACAAACTTCCTCTAGTTTGAGCCAAAAGGACAGAAACCTGAGAGAGAAGTCATATGCTGTTTGTGCAAAAAGCTGCCTCCACAAAGTCAGGGGCAGGAATTGTTGAGAGAGCACCAGCTCAGTCCCACAGCATAATACAACTAGGTCCACGGCAGGGATGCTGGACCTGCAGAACAGAGGGGACTGATGCCCCTCCCTCCAGCGGGGGAAGGTGGCAAGCTCTGGCTTCCATCCGGTGACACAGCGCGGTGGAAACGGCATCAGCTCTTGGGGCAGACTTAAGGTCACAGCCCAGCTCCAGCCCTCACCAGTTACGTGCGCTCGGTCAAGTTACATCACCTCCTTGTGCTCCAGCTTCCTCACCTGTAAAACAGGAATCCAAACACCTACACTGCTGGGCTGTCGTAAAGGTGAGAGGTAATGCAGCATGTGAAGCACCTAGCATCAGACCTGCACACGTAACTGTTTAAACACGGTGACTACTATTATTAAAAGAGCATTACGTGTGGGCTTCCCTGGTGGCGCAGTGGTTGAGAGTCCGCCTGCCAATGCAGGGGACACGGGTTCGTGCCCCGGTCCAGGAAGATCCCACATGCCCCGGAGTGGCTGGGCCCGTGAGCCATGGCCGCTGAGCCTGTGCTCCGCAACGGGAGAGGCCACAACAGTGAGAGGCCCGCATACAGCGAAAAAACAAAAACAAAAAAAAAAGAGCATTACGTGGCCCAACTTGACTTGTGCTTGGCAAAAAGGTTTTTTTTGAATAAACCAAAGATTCACTTCTTTTCAGCCCATGGAAAGGATTACCTCCAGCTCAGTTACCTGTTTGGTTATGCTCTCTCTCTTACGCCAAAACCACCAGCGACCAGATTTCTTTGGCATCTTATCTTTGACCCAGGACTCAACTGTGGCCTGAAAACAATCAACACAGGTGAGTCTAGCCATCTGTCAGTCACAAGGCACCCGACTCCTTTCAACCATTAATGTGTAGGATGGTGAGCAACGCTTTCCACACCTCCCAGACTCCTCTGAAAGATGGACAGTGTCCTCTTTTGTGGCAGTTCTGTGGTATGAGATTGGGTGGTCTGGTTATGTAGGAGCAGCGCTCTTAGGGGCTGGCAGGCAGCCTGCTCTCATTTCTCTACCCTTGGGAAATGTGGTTCTCATGAGTTATGAGGAACAGCTAGGCTGATGATGTCATCTTGGTGGACAGATTCAAAGCAAAGCTTCATGTTCTACATGTTTTAACCACAAGCTGAATGAATCACACCGATGCCACGCTTCTGGGGGCCACATCACCCTCTTCTTGCTGCTTCTTTCCATGTTAATGGGAGGAAATGTTTTCACTTATTCTATATTTAACTAACAGTCAGTAAAATCTCTCAACCTTCATATACCATCAGAAACCAGTATAAATATCTAGTAAAAATGGCAAAGATATGGCAGCCCAGCTAACTTCCTACACTTTGGGGTATGAGATAATTTGAGTGATAATATTAATTTTAGAATATTAAATCAAACCGAACAGTACCCAGTTTAAAAACAGGCACATCTGGATGTTTTGAAGCACTACATGCTATAGGTACCTCTGAGGGGGCAACGAACAGCAGAGGACCTCACCTTAGGTAAGCTCTTCTGGAAGACCTGCAGGCTGAGGATCATGGGAGCCGCCAACGCCCAGTTGTAGTAACTGTGAGAGTAAAACCGTGCAAGACCGTCACACAAGAGAGGAGAGGGCGGGAGGGAGAAATACCACGTAAAACGCCTTATTCTCTTCAATGAAAAGATGATCAGCTCAGTTGCTTTGCCACGTAAGTCATCTTTGCTTCAAGCCAAACTTCTCTGAGCAGAGAAGCAGCACAATGTACTGGGTGGGCCAAAAGGTTTGCTCGGTTATTTCCGTAGGATGGCTCTAGTAGCACTCAGTTGTCTTTAACTTCATTTGAAACAATTTTGTTAGATTGTATTGTGACAGGTGTCACATCAGCATGCATTTAAAAAAAGACTTATGGGGCTTCCCTGGTGGCGCAGTGGTTAAGCACCCGCCTGCCAATGCAGGGGACACGGGTTCGATCCCTGGTCCAGGAAGATCCCACATGCTGCGGAGCAACTAAGTCCATGCGCCACAACTACTGACCTGCGCTCTAGAGCTCGTGAGCCACAACTACTGAGCCCGCGCACCACAACTACTGAAGCCTGTGCACCTAGAGCCCGTGCTCCTCAACAAGAGAAGCCACCGCAATGAGAAGCCCACACACCACAACGAAGAGTAGCCCCCACTCGCCGCAACTAGAGAAAGCCTGAGCACAGCAACGAAGACCCAACGCAACCAAAAATAAATAAATAAATAAATAAATAAATTTAAAAGAAAGAAAGACATCAAAATTGGTGAATTTTTGTGTAGCCATTTTAACACTGAAGATGGAAGAAAAAAAGCAACATTTTCAGCATATTATGCTTTATGATTTCAAGAAAGGTAAAAATGCAACTGAAACGCACAAAAAGATTTGTGCAGTGTATGGAGAAGGTGCTGTGACTGATTGAACGTTTCAAAAGTGGTTTGTGAAGTTTCGTGCTGGAGACTTTCGCTGGATGATGCTCCACAGTCAGGGCAGACCAGCTGAGGTTGACAGCGATCAAACCAAAACCATAATTGAGAACAATCAACGTTACACCACATGGGAGATAGCTGACATACTCAAAATATGAGTATGAAAATCATCTGCACCAGCCTGGTTATGTGAATCGCTTTGATGTTTGGGTTCCACATAAGTTAAGGGAAAAAAACCTTCTTGACCATATTTCTGCATGTGATTCTCTACTGAGATGTAATGAACACGTTCCGCTTTTAAAGCAAATTGTGATGGGCGATGAAAAGTGGGTACTGTACAACAAAGTGGAACGGAAGAGAGCGTGGGGCAAGCGAAATGAACCACCATCAACCACACCAAAGGCCAGTCTTAATCCAAAGAAGGTGATGTTGTATATGTGGTGGGGTTGGAAGGGAGTCCTCTATTATGAGCTCCTTCCAGAAAACCAAATGATTAATTCCAACAACTACCTCTCCCAATTAGACCAACTGAAAGCAGCACTTGACGAAAAGCGACCAAAATTAGTCAACAGAAAACGGGTAATCTTCCACCAGGATAACACAAGACCGCATATTCCTTTGATGACCGGCAAAAACTGTTACAGCCTGGCTGGGAAGTTCTGATTCATCTGCCATATTCATCTGCCATATTCACCAGACACTGCACCTTCGGATTTCCATTTATTTAGGTCTTTACAAAATTCTTTTAATGGAAGAAAATTTCAATTCCCTGGAAGACTGCAAAAGGCACCTGGAACAGTTCTTTGCTCAAAAAAGATAAAAAGTTTTGGGAAGATGGAATTACGAAGTTGCCTGAAAAATGGCAGAAGGTAGTGGAATAAAAGGGTGAATACGTTTGTTCAATAAAGTTCTTGGTGAAACTGAAAAATGTGCCTTTAATTTTACTTAAAAAACTGAAGGCACTTTTTGGCCCACCCAATATAAAACAGAGTAGCATTTCAACATCTCATTTGAAAATAAAGCTGAGGCTTTACCTTCACTTCAAAGACACTCACTGCCCATGAGCTCGTTTATATGAAACGTCATATTTTATAGCAAGAAAGACTGTAATGGTTAAAAACAGCACTCGGGGAAAAAAACCTGCAAGAGTTTTTAATAATTACAAAAGCAAGAGTATTTACCGGTTATATATCCGTATTACAAGGTTGGGATTGTCGATAAGTCCGGGGTTTTCTGCAAATTCATGGTAAGTAATGATATGCTCCATAAATTTCTCTGCAATGTAAAACAATAATTATCCATTTGGTTAGAGATTACATAAATAAACACCCATATGAGATTATCACAATACTACCTACATTGAAGGGACTATACGATTTTTAAAAAGTCCTTTAAAACAAACAAACAAAAAACCCAGCAACTAACTTTTTTATATGCATCAAAAGCAAATGTCAGACACTTGAGGGTTTTTTTTCCCCCAGGACAAGAAAGAACACTTCTTTTCTACTCCCCCTCTGCTACCACTCCTCCCGCAGATGGGAAAAAACAAAACTAAAAACCAAAAACCAACCAACAAAACAAAGAAAAATGGAAGGAAGCCAGAAAGAGAAAGACAAATACCGTATGCTAACACATATATATAGAATTTAAGAAAAAAAAAAATGTCATGAAGAACCTAGGGGTAAGACAGGAATAAAGACACAGACCTACTAGAGAATGGACTTGATGATATGGGGAGGGGGAAGGGTAAGCTGTGACAAAGCGAGAGAGAGGCATGGACATATATACACTACCAAACATAAGGTAGACAGCTAGTGGGAAGCAGCCGCATAGCACAGGGAGATCAGCTCGGTGCTTTGTGACCGCCTGGAGGGGTGGGATAGGGAGGGTGGGAGGGAGGGAGATGCAAGAGGGAAGAGATATGGGAACATATGTATATGTATAACTGATTCACTCTGTTATAAAGCAGAAACTAACACACCATTGTAAAGCAATTGATCTCTAATAAAGATGTAAAAAAAAATTAAAAAAAAGAAAAATGGGAGAAAGGGATAAACCAGGACTCCTAGGAAAATAGATTACAGGTGGGCGAGAGGGAGGAAGATACGAAGGCACAGACGTGCACACACTCTACTCCACAACCACTGAAAACTGAGAGCTTCATTCTTCTAAGTAGGAGAGAATGTATACCTGGGGAATACTCGCGGGGGTCTTACAGCGTTAAGTGCACAAGTACAAGCTACGTTAAAAAAAACAACCAGAACATTTTACAATGCTTGGAGGAAAAAAACCAAAGACACACCAGAATCTGGCGTAGGGTCTCATCAAGAAATAAATCCCAAGCTCTTGCAGAATAAATGAGAACTGCGCATGAATTTCTGTATGCTGATCGCAACCCTGCGCTCTAATGCAGGCCAACAGAGGCAATTCTCCCTGGGGTTGTTCCTCCTGGCAATCTGTATATTTATTACTTTTACTTGCCGTTTCTGCCTCCCCCAATGATAAACTCTACCTAAGTGAACAATATTCTTTTTAAGTATAAATTTTATAGTTTACATAAATTGTATATCCCCTCCTCCACCTATTTTTTAAAGTGAAGGCTTATGAGGATTATAATTAAAATGTGACCTATTTAACTTTGTCCCTAGAAGGAACCACTTGGCCATAATAACACGCTCTTAATTTCTAGCAAAAAGTAAAACAAACAAATAGAATTAAGAGGTGGAAAAGAGGCACAGTGATCACCCTGTGACGCTAAGAAAAAGAAGATTCAGGGAAGCACAGACGTGAGGCTCAGGGTGCCTGGCCTGCCACATGCAGAAGATGAAGGATGATGTTAGTTGTAAAAAGAAAATCTTTCCTTAGAGGAAAGTCAATCAAGGGCCACTAGCCAAACTGAGAAAACATTAAGAAGAGTTCAGTTTACAAAAGGAGGGAAAACCAGAAAGGCCAAATAACTTGGGACAGGCGTACACACGGCTGCTCAAGCCACAGCAGAGTAGCCTGAACCGGCCCCGCTAAGCAGCTCCCTTGTCTTGTCTTGAGCACCTTTACTCTCCTGCGCCAACTCTCAAGATGAGATAGAAAGTAATCCCTTCTACCTTTAGCCAGAAACATCCATCTACTCAGAAGACAATCAATTTTGGCAGCCTCAGGCCCTCCTCTCCCGTCTCAGACTCGGGGCAGCCAGGCCCCAGTCCCACAACTATTCTCCCAACAACCTTACAGAAGAGAAGGTGGCCAGAGCTGCGCTGACCCCGGCCGCCCAGCAGGCGGGCCGCCCGAGACCTCGGCCCCAGACACGTACCCTCTCCCACCCACTTACCTGTGGCGTCACCCCAACACAAGGTACCTAAGTGAAGGGCCAGGAGTCCGACAGCAAAGGGGGCCCCGGTTACCTGCACAAGACCCCGCGAGCTGGATTCCCACAACAGCTCAAGGCTGCTCTCTCAGCGGGGCAGGCGTGGCTGCTGGCCTACCTTTAGAAATCTCTCCGTTCTCACTGAGGCCCCCGCAGAGGGACAGGGTGACGTCGGGCAAGTCCATGGCAGAGTCTGAGAGGCACTCGGTGCCGCTGTCGGCGGCCGCGCTGCCCACAGACTGTGGGGACTGGGAGCCAGAGAGCGTGTCGGACTCGGGCCACTGCCTGGAGCCGGGCTCCGACTCGCTGCAGGAGGAAAGCATGGCCTTCACACAGCTGCGCGCGTTCCCAGCTTCCCAACCACAGGGCTCCCTGGGCGCTGTGAACAGGAGCAGGCTGACCTGCCATCAGATGCGGCTTTCCTTAGGGAGTGCTGAGAATCCTATCACAGATGACACTGAAATAACCTAACAGCACTGCTGAGGAATTAACTGAATACAGAGAACACGTCACAAACATCACTACCGTCATTCACAATAATGCAAACTTTTCAAAGATGGCCGTTCTGACATAAAGGGGCAAAAGAGTTATAAGCATTTATTTACATCGTATGATGAAAATGACAGAGTAATTAAGAAAAATCTGATGTTTGAAAACCTTTTGATCTTAACTTCCTAGAAAAGGCTGCACTGCTATATACATCCTGTAGAAAATGCTGTAGTCCAAGTTCGTATTATTTTTAAAAACAAGGCTTTTCTAAATCATGTTACTTCACGAAATACAACCAAGAAATTAACCAAGTGAAAATTCTCAGGAGCCTAGACACACCTCAAGAAAGAAATGTACTGAGAAACTAGAAATAAGCTGTTCTTACACTAGTGAGCGCCAGAACCAAAGTCGAGGGTATTCAATATTTTCACTTTTCTAAATAAGGTTTTAGAAGCTGATCCTAAAGGAAACTTTCTGTAATGGAGCATAAGTTTGAGAGGAAAAAAAAAAACAAGGAAACGACGCCGTAAGTCTCTTAGTCATGAATGTTTACTGCTCTATTTCAATGTCACATTGAAATACTGTTCTAGAATTTTCAAATTCTTTTACTTTTTTTTTAAAAAAAAAGCCAGTATATGAATGTATGCTATCCAGTGAAGTTATATGATCGTTAGGGAAAAATCTGAAATTTGAACAGTAGGTGGCAGCAGAGTACAGATATGTCATAAATAGAAAGCAGTTTCCAACACATCATGTTTTGTATCTGAGCCTCTGAAGAAAACTTCAGGTTTTTGGGAATTAGGTTTTTGGGAATTCTCTCTCCTAAGAGCAATGTACACACATATCACAATACTGAGATCAATCGGATCAACAGAATGTGTTCCTCACTGGAAATGGTGAAAAAGCCAAAGCCACCTAAAGCAGCAAAACCTGCTGTTATGCTGGGGTCCCAGTGCCGGCCGACCCCTGGAGTAAAACACAAACACCCTTGTCTTCAACCTCCTAGGCACACGGCTAGGTCCCCCTGCAGTCACGTGTGGCCACTTGATCAGATGACTGAGCTGTCCATGTGGACAGAAGGCGTGTGCTGTGTCCTCCCCAAGCTGGGCCCCTGAATAAACTGCCCCATGTGATGCTCTCCTTTCCCCACTGAGGCCCCGGAGGGCATGGTGGAGGCTCAGGATGGAAGAAGCTTGCGCTCCTGAGCCCCTGTGTGCAAGGCCTCCCACCAAATACCAGCACTAGAACAGCATCACGGGAGCAAGAAATAAACTGCTGTGGTCAAGCCACCAAGGTCTTGCTTGAGTTTTCTCAGTCAGAGCAGCTGGTGTGACCCTCACCAACGCCACCACTTAAATACACAGAGGACCCACCTGACTCAACAGGCCGCCAAACCCATGAGACTGATGTGATTTATGGTACAGCTGAACTCTAATTACAAATACTGGCTATTCAGTCAAGACGGCAATGGCCACGATGATAAAACAAATGCTTACAAGCATTTCAATAATCTCACTGTCGCTCAATGTTTATGAATGTCTCAAGAAACAACCAGCTTCTGAGGTAAGGCTCGGTGAATGGCAACGGTCCCAGACGGTGACGTTATAACAGCGCGGGGAGGCCCCACTGCAGTAGTCATGCTTCCCCATTTTTTAAAAGGGAAACTAAGAAATCTGTCTTAGGAATCCTAGTGTAAATAAATGATTAAGGACTGGGAGATGGGAAACAAAGAGGTAATTTTAAGACAGCTTACATTTTAACTTTCTTACTGGGGGGAAAAAAAAAAAAGGACCAGTTTTCAGTTCTCTCACCTTAAAAACCCAGCTATTACTTCAAAAGAAGTGGATACTTGGAGACAAATGTAGGGCAGAAAGCTAGGAAGGAGTTTTAAGGATCTTCCAAAACTATCTGTAAAAATTTAAGTATCTTCTTTTCAATCCCATCTTTCTATTTAAAATAAAAACTTAAGACATGCTTTTCAATAATTTACCTAAAAATGTTTAATTATGTGTGACTATGGCTCAGTATATTCAAGCCATACTTCTCACGAGAAAAGTAAATTGTTTTTTATAATCATAGATAGAGTATTATCATGGAATTTCCCCAAGAATGGAAGTGACCTTGGGAAAACAGCGCAAGTCTGTCGCTGCTGAGATCTCAGTGTTATTCCAAGGTGAGAGTCACGGACGAGAGGAGGGGGTGCCTGGGGGTGTGGAGAGCTGAGCTCCAGGGGTGCACAGGCCCTAGAAGGGGCCCCACCAGACCCAGGACTGCAAGCGGAGACTCACTGAAGAGTGGAGGCCTCCTTCGTAAAGCATCTCTGAATAAAGATATTTTACCTTTAAAACACATAGCAAAGGAAACAAATGCTAATGAACAGAAGGTGCTAAACTGAAGTCACATCCACTGTTAGGCCCTTATGTAGGCTTCACTAGTGCACCTTACCTTCTTACTGTATTGAAAATTTTTTCATAAATAGGTAAATTATTAATTTCAAATCACTACAGTCAAAAGAACACATGCACAATTTCTGAATTTTCCAAAATCTGAAGCAATCATCCAACTTATTAGCTAAAGGATACCATCCCCATGCTCCTTTTTCTCAGACAGAATGCTTTGCTCTAGAAACAGAGAGAATATTTCAGAGCTGCCCACTCTTCAATATAAAATCCACTACCTTTTGGGGAAATAGAGAGCTGCAACCTCAGGTTCTAGTGCCTTTAGGTCATCCAGGTATATATCATCAGGTCCCTGGTGTTGGCTCCTCTTGTGGACACCTGTTATTGTTTAAAAAAAACAAACAAACAAACATTGGAGATGAGAACTTGGTTATTCTTCATTTACAACTCTGCAAGAAAACAAAGGTTTGCAAGTAATAAAACAGACCATGATTAGAATTATGTTGTATTTTTTAAAGGTGTCAACTAACCTCTTTCCC